CCGCGATCAAGACTCGTTCGAGATGGTAATGAATACCTGAGACCATGATTACAGCCCAAATGTCCCTCGGGCTAAAATTTAAAGCAAGACAGACAGATGGATGATGAAGGAAATCATCGTCTTCATAAACTTTGATTCAGCCGCAGGCTTTTTGCGGATTTGATTACGTACCGTTAAATTGCTGATCGATGACTCTCAAAGACCACATTGTGTACAATTATATTATTTATTTCTAATAATTTACTATTTAATTAATCATTATTATTGTTATTATTATTTATCTATTAATCATATTATATTAAAGAGTAGCTCATATTATTTCATATTTATTCATAAATTCTACTTTTTATTTTATAAACATCTTTCAACTATTCCCTTCATTTTTTTTTCTTATTTTTCAGTATTAATGATTATTCAGATTCCTTATTGCAAAATCTCTTTTTGTCCTGCAAGAAAATTTCATAGTTATTTTCATTGAATTAATCACTCGGTAGAATGAGTTGTTGTTTTTTTTTTTTTCAATGTTTCAACAATTGTTCTTCTTCTGTTGGATGAATTTATGGATTAATTATAAGATTAATTATGTTTAATTAATTGTGAATGAACTTTGCACTTTGAAGCATCGTATCTGTTGAAGTAGGATCAATTTTGCATATTTTACGCAATATTTAGAGTAAATAAACTAATTGTTTTCTAACTTGCATCATGATTATCGATAATTATCGCTATTATTGCATGTCATTAATAATCATTATTAATTCATTTTGTAAAATTTTTCAATAGATTTTCACTTAATATTTCAACTATGACATTACAGCTATTTATTTAAAATTAAAAAAAAAATTATTGATGTAATTAAAAGTTAATTTACATTAATTAATTTATTGCTTATTTTTTTTTTTTTTTACAAGATAGTTTGTAAGTAAAAAAGTCCTCTTTAAGAAAATAATTATCTTTTTGAATTACACGGTTTCAATTTGCACTTGTGAGATTAATTCTAAATTAACAATGAATCTTTCCCTCGTTTTTTCCTTTTTTTTTATTTTCGCCTCTTTGAAAGATTTTCTCTCGAGTGTTAAAACGTCGAGTAAGAGAACCAGAGTTGTCTCCTTTCTACAGGGGGTTTAACAGCTTCATCTCATGTATTCTCCTAGCAACGCTATTGATTTTCTCCCTTCTCTGCTCTTCTCACTCTCAGGACCAAAAGTGCCTGTGTGTATTTGCCTAAATCCACTCATGCCATTATGCGTTGCTGAAAGTTTATTTGAAGATTATAGAAAAGAATAATTAAATTAATATATGAATTGCACTTGAGCAAAGGAGTTCAGGAGTTAATAGAGGGAATATCAAATGGATCTTTTGCCAGTATAAATTAGTTATTTTTTTAATTTTAATTTATAACATGCTTTTAAAATCATTTTTTAGATTTTTAGCAATTGAAAAAATAACATTTGCTAACGCATATTTGTGAATACAATAATATAATAATAAATCCTTTGTTATTTGAAATATTTGAAATAAAGTATAATTTTGCTTTTTTTTCAATTATTTTTGCTTTGGATAAAAAGTGCTTTTGTAATTTAATGACTCAATTACCGAGGAAAAACGTGACACAAAGAATTTTTCTGAAAAAAGAAGATTATAATTTAAAAAAAAAAAATAAAAATAATTGAAAATATTTTTTTAATAATTTTAACATGATAGTTTAAATAATTTAAAATGTAAAATAAATAATTTTATTATCTCATCTAAGAATTGAGAGTATTTTTTTATTTTTATAACTATTTTCAATCTTATTCTTTAAAAAGATGAAACTAAAAAATTATTGATCGATGAGTTTGCACGTCACGTTCTTCTTTTGATAAAAAAAGAAGAAAAAAAAAATTATAGTAAATTTCTCTATTAGCACTGGATAAAACTGTCTATTACCTTTTGACTTTTTTTTCTTCTTCTACGGTCGTTTTTAAAGAAGTTATCAAAGGTAGAAAGATAAAAGAAGACACTCTATCCTATTATTTTTTTTTCTAAATTGCAATTTGTTGAAAAGTTATTAATTATATTGAAAAAAATTGATTTTTCTTCGAAAAAAAAAATTCCCTCTGAACAAATAATCTCATAACTCAGCTTGAATTTTGACTCAGCCATTATACTCGAAGAATTTATATACATAGACGGAATTGATATTTGAAAGAAAATGTTAAAATTCATTTGGTCAAAGAATTTCGGTTTCCCTATGCTCTGTCATCGAACACAAATAATAAACTACTAAAAACTCTTCCTTACATTAAATATGAAACACTTAACCATTAATAACAAGGTGGACTTAATGTGAAATCTTTAAAATATTCAGAACGTTGGTAAAACCCACGTAAATAAATTATCCTTCTTATGATCTAGAAGTAACAAAGTAACAAGCTTGCATAATTTTCAAGCTTTACATTCTTCCTCTTTCTTTTTTCTTTCATCTTCTGTATTTTATCCCGAATAAAACACGCAATTGGGTGGACTCGAACGTCCAGGAAAACAAGTTCAAGAACAAACACGCATAATACAACGATTTTCGTGAGTAATTTATCGAGGAGTTTCAGTATGGGGTGTAGAAGTCTTTGAACAAGGTCGTTGAAAAGGTGGATGAACGAGGACTGGTGTTGATCTGAATCTCGACTACAGTCCTATTAAGATAAAATATTTCAAATGACTACACATAATATAACATTATGAAAAGAATACATAACACATCGAATACATAAGCTAAAAACAGCTGTAAACAAGATTAAGTTATGATTATAGTAATAACATATAAATAGCTCGGTGAGATAATAATTATGTGTCTGTGTTTATTTAGGAAGTAGCTGACTTTGAATGAAAGTAATTTCTTTGCTTTCTCCTTTTCCCGAATGAACCAACAATGATTCTTTCTCCCTGCTTGCCTGCTCGCAGATTCAGGTCAAGTTCACTGTCTGCTCGGGCTCTCTTTCACTCTCGCTCTCGCGTTCTCACCGCGTACTCCCTATATATCTGTCTACATGTATATAAATATATCTGTAAGAATTCATATATGTATGTATCATGTACAATATATACTTATGAGAAGAAGCTTTATACTCATTACATTTCACTCGAACGTCACTAGTGGTTTCACGCTCCTACCGATTATGTCAGTGTCAATGGCACCGCGAGCGACGCCTCCGCAAGTAGTCGAGCACCAAAGAGAAGTCGAGAGGTGTTACGTCCTCGACTCGGTTCGCTGAACTGAATCTCACATGTTTCTTAATACATTCCAACTACTGCTGCTACTTATTTATATAGATATAAATATATTTAACCGCAACTTCTGTATGTTTTAAGAATAATTATACAATCCACGCTTATCAATTATTAATTTTCTTAACATTCATCCTGATTTTTTAATTGCTATTTTTATTTTTTTGCCTTTAATTATCTACTTGAGTAACGGATTGCAGGCAACATTAAAATGTTTCTATACAAATGATGATGTTGGAAATCGTTTAATTTTACATTTCTCAAGGCCATATGATTGCTCAGAATACATCTTCTCAATTCAGACTCATTTAAGTCACTTGAAAATTCGTTACTCACATATGACTTAACAATCTCAGATGGGCCACCTGTCTCTCTGGCATCGGAATCTCTTTTGCTTTGCCATTCACACTGTACCTACACCACCACCATCATCATCATCATCAAGAAATACCACTTTCTCAACATGTGATGCTTCTTTTCATTTTTTCCTCCGAAATCCCACGTCTTTGGTAATTCCTATAAGGCTACATGTGATGATGATTATCCTTGATGAAATTCCCAAGTGAGTCATTTTGAATTGGTACAATCAATATGTAACATTACATAATATATAAAATGTAAAATTTACTGTCAGTCAAATTCACTTTAGCAAGTGTAGTCGAGTAGTAAGTAGTACTTGTGTCAAATACAGCAACGTCAAGGTTTTCAGATTGCATTTCGATCTGGTTGGAATATTTTGATGAATTATTTATTGTTGTCTGGTGATTTTTTTTTTCATTATTTATTTGAAAATAAATTTAACTTTAATTATATACTGTTTTATTTTATGTTAACATTGAAAATATTTTGTAGTAATTAATTTGACTTTAAAAAAGTTGTTTTTAATTATCCATTGATACAAATAAAGTAAATTAATTTTTATTATCAGTAAATTGTCATTTTTTTGTGTTATTATTTTAATTATTTCATGAATTAATGATACAGTTTACATTAAAAAAAAATCATTACAGTTTAAAAATAATAAAAATGGTGAAAAGTATTGATTTTAAAATTAAAAATAAATAGTATTCTTTCGAGAGTAAAATATTTTTTGTAATACTGAGGATGTGTATTTATTTTTCAACGGGTATCCATCAACTAACAGTCTGACCACAAAATTAGAAAATCGGAGCCATTCGAACAAAACAACATTCCTCCAATTTTCTGAATCCTTCCATTAGGTGTATTCACCAATTGATCTGTTCACGTTAAACAATTACTCAAATAATACATAGTGTTATTTTTGAAGGTAATGGAGTACCTGGCATATTAAGTATTAAGCTGTTGATGTACACATGAGGACTGGTGCGTTAACTCGTAGTCTCTATAGTAAATTAGAGGATGGCGTGCTATCCACGGCATTCCTGTTTCATCTGGTGGTATATACACGGTGAAGAAGACGACGACGAAGAAGAGAAGCAGAAGAAGGAGTCTGGAGGAGAGAATAAAGGAGGTTGAAGGTCGGGAGGGAGAAGCTTAAGTGGTAGTGGAAAGACCGAGAAGACGAAGAAGAGAATGAAGAGGAACCTCTTGTGTAGCCCCAAGGGCCCTAGTCACAAGTTTCTCTCTCTTTCTCTTGCGCCAATCAGCTCTAAGCTTAGCTAAGGATGAACGTTTGCCAGCGGAGGGGAATCAGTGGTGAGACTCAAGGTATTTAAGGTACCGTGAATCGGCGGCGCACGAGTAGTCGACTTCTGTTTGGTGTGGCGACGTGAAAGAATCACACGCGCCATCGAGAGGGTGCAAGTGACATTTTCGAACCCCTTCGTCAACGTGAAAGAAGGAGATACGCATAAGGCTGAACTTTTACACAAGCTTGTATTAAACCCCCTTTTACTACCTCCCGCCCTTCTTCAAGTTCAGACTCCCCCGCGCGCGCACGCCGGTTCGCGTTTATTCGACTCGCGCGCGTCTAAGGATCCTCACTCGATTGTCGGCTTCCATACCGACGACACTCACCGGCATATCACTTTAACACTGTTTGTATCACCTTTTATATTATCACTATCATTTCAACATTTCACTACGTCTCTCATTATCGTGATAATATAAGAAGCCTGAGGATTTAGTGCGACGAATAGACGAGATAATTCCACATTTTTATTTCCATCATAGCCTACTGAGCACTTGGGTAAGTTTTATCTCAATCATAATCTATTGATAATTGCATCATTTCCATTAGGGATTTATTAAATGTAATATTTCTCTGTGATATGCTAAAAGTGTTTATGAAAGTAAAAAAGTGCACTGTGAGGATAAGAAAGTGATTGAAAATAAAAAAAAATGCAGCTCAATAAGTGATTATTTATCGCTATCCACTTGCGAGCAGGATTGTAATACTTGTATAATATATGTATATATCGCAGAAGGAACATGTTGAGAAAAAAAAGAACACTGTACGTCGACTAAATAATTCAACGCGACGCGAACTTGGCTCGTATAGGTATGCATGTTCTTCTTCCCAGAGAGAACTCGGGTACTCGCAAGTCTTGTCCAACGTCGTATATACCAACACCTTGTATAATTAACAAACAGCGGTTGAATACCGTAGGTGATTCTCGGACTCATGCTTGTGAATACCAAGGAGGGCGAAAAATTTCTAGACAACTCGGGGAATTTGTGAATTATTTTATTCTCAATTGTCATTTTTTTGTCGGTATAAACCAATATAATTAGATTAGGTTGATTATTACAAAGTAGAGACACTAAATGTCTTTGATCATGACCAAGTCAAAATGAAATGGATTAACGGACATTGAAAATCGTCAAGTCACGCGATTAAAGACGATTAAAGATGTATATACATTTACTACGTGTATATGTAAGGGAAAAGAATGAAGAATAGAGACAGAGTTAGAGAGAGAGAAAGATGTTGAAGGGAAAAAAAAATTGCAAAGGATTTTTCGATCGACCTGAGAGGCAATAGCCGTGGAGAATTGGCGGACGTCTGAATCGTGTTGGCTCGCACAAAAAATAAATTAAAGAGAAAAAAATGATGAAGAATCGAGAGAGAGAGGAGGGGGGGAAATAACGAAAAGTATAAGAAGAAGAAGAAGAATAAAATAATAATGATGATAATAAAAATAATCAAACTAAGAAGTAATAATAATTGAAGCTCGTTAGGTGTAGCATCTAATTCCGGCGGAAATGATTGGCTAAGAAAAATGCGATTAAATAAATATAATTTGTCGGCTTTTTATACATTTGTCATTTCTCATCTTATTATCATCCAACAATAATTGAATAAAAAATAAATAAACCATTATACAAAACTTGAAACACGCGTTATTCTCTTCGTACTACTGTGAATACAAATAAATACACTGAAAACGTATTTAGATGTCTTGAAAAGATAGAGAGAGGCCTGGAAAGGGTCATTGAACTAACAAGCAAAAGACAGTAATTTTTTTCGGAAGAATTTCGCATAGAAACGTTTTAAGAATTAATCCTGAGGTGAGTTACGTTGCGGAAAAATGACGATGATGATTAAGTTTAGAAGGATGTTGATAAATTTCTATACAACTCATGTAAAACTCTCTTTCATCAAATCGTCGGCTTCCGTTAGTTTCAATTTTAAAGCAAATCACTGATGATTTGAACAGTACATTAATCTCCATTAAAAGAATACATATAGAAAAAAGAGGAAAAAAATGTTATTTTCAAGAAATTCGGTTGATGAAATCATCAACAGTTATTACTTATCATCATTAATAGCATCATCATATTTGACGTGTAAATAATTTTTTTTAAAGCTTTTCCAATGGTCAATCAATTTTGTTTTATAGTCAAAGAAATATTTTTTTTTTTCCAATTGAATTGATCAGATATTACGTAAAGGTGCGTGAGAACGTGGGTTAGTGGACGATTTGCAGTCACCCAATGTAATCGGAGGTACACGCGATGCAGAATCACCGGGTCACAAGCCGTGCCCGTCGATTGACTGGCGTTGACCGGGCGTATATGTACGTATGTATAGATATACGCGTGTCCTGGAAAAAACGGCAACAGGTAACGCGTTGGCATGATACGTGCAACGAGTTCGCAACGATAAACTCAGCTAATTTACATGATTACGATGCCAATTGGTTTTTTAAGGAATATTGAATAGCTAGGAAATGATCCTTATGTATGTCAAGTCAACATATAAGATTGTCCTTTGTTCCGATTCTCTCTGTACATCCATACATGAATCCATTGATCGAGACATCTTGAATGAGACGTCAATAAAAACAATATATATATATGTATAATAATGAACAATCCTATTGTTAAATATGTTAATAACATAGTAAAAACGCTGACGGTCAATTCATGTACCTGACTTACTGAACTTGCGCCACAATTGGCCTAGATCTAGAATATATAGACATTGCAAAGAGTGTAACAACCTTTCTCCTGTCAACTCGACTCATTCTTTCGCTGTCTTAGCATGGAAACTTTGAGATACAATGAATTATTCTGATTTTTATGATGTAAACATCAGTGGAAATAAATTATGAAAGCTGACATGGGTTGAATATTGCACGGGGAAATTTTTTTTTTTAGGAAAAGTAGCATTGAGTTTGTTGGATTTGTGGGACAATGTTGTTTGGAGAATTGTTATGTCAAGACAAGCTGTTTGTTTTGCACAAATATTTGCTGATGTTTTTATTATTTTGATCAATTCAATCTAATGAAAATTACTAGTTTTTTTATTTTTTTTCATTATTTAATATTTTTTTTTATTTTACATCCAAAAAAAGATGAAGCCAAATTGCTTTTCAATTATTAATAATTTTAGCTATTCATAGTCAATCGCATTTATAACGATGCTTGAAATAATTTATTGGAGATAAGATTGAATATTTTATTGAGTTTAAATTGCCAAAAATCGATTTCAAAGTTCTAGATTTTTCATAATCTATAAATATATTACATCAATAGAAATGTTCTCTTGATTTTTTGGGAGTAAAGAATGAATTATAGCCAGCATAAAAATTGAATTTTAATTACCCATTAAATACTTGGTCATTTTTCATTTTTAATCTTGAATAATAGGGAAATAAAGTTCATAAAGTGGCTTTTTGTTGATAAAAAAAGGAGAGGAGCCTTTTATAAGTCCAAGTTGATAGAGATTGTTCGATCATTATTACAGGACCTAACTCCTCGGGTTAATTTATACATAGCGATAAATGACATTGCGTGTAAGTGCGTATTTACGAGTCACCGGGAGGTAAAAGAGAATGACGTTTACCTCTACGAACAATTACCTATACAGAATAGCCATTCATCAAATGATATTTCTTCCGTGTGCTGTGTAGAATATTATAACTCGAGTTTATATCTTTCATTTCAATAAGTAGAAGTGAAAAACATCCGCAAATGAAAAAAAAAAAAAAAAATAAATAAAATATTTAAAACAAATATTTACATATGATTTTTTTTAATATAAATAAAATATTTAATAAAAAAAAATGAAAAGTAAAGAAAGTTATTTTATCGTAAGATTAATCTCAAGGCGATCGTTCTCCATGGGATGTTATAACGGTAAAGTTCCACGATCGGCTTGTTGTGCCTTCCAAACGGTTAATTATATTACACGACTGGTAATTAGTCGATTGCTCGTCACATTTGTAACAATCAGTATGATCAAAAAATATATTAATACAACATGAAGCATTATTATCGATTTATGAGACAAGATGTATATTTTTAAGTCGCTCAGAATTATTGGAATTAATCATTACCTTATTAATTTGACGTTCCTTAGCTTACGCTATTATTTATTTATGATAAAAAATGACTTAGATGAAGTAATTGCGAGACAGAGTAATAAATGAACTGGTACTTGAATCATTGTTCCAATAAGAAGACAATTATTAATTATAAATCTTTTTTTTTTAGCCCTAATATTTAATTATGAGAAATTATTCTAGAGAAAAAAAATAATAATTTTAAAATGGGAATTTTTTTTCTCGATAAAATTAGATTATCAGCTATTAATACTTCTGATTTTTCAATCCAGTAAATTAATATGCTATTTTGGATTCATTTTATGGTGATAATTATTTTATGTTAATCAATTGATAACATGTGATTCTCATGACGATTTATGCAGTATGAAAAATTGATTTAATATTAAATATTTTTATCTTCCAATATGATCGAATAATTTCCTTCGATATTTTAGTGAACATAAAAGCATCTTGAAATTCATATAAAAATAATTTGATAATATGAGAAGATAAAAATTTTAATTTTCAGGAAATAAATAAAAAAAAAAACGTTATTACTTCTTAAGATTCTTGACAATTATTTTAATAATCACATTTATTTATGCAACAATTTATTATATTAATGCCATTGCAGAAGACATAATTGGTTAATTGTTGATGTTTGTAACAAAAGACTTGGTAAAAAATTCTATTAATATAACATAAAGGATTTAAGTAAGAATTGAAGTAAATACATAAAACAACAGACTAATATACTTTTATTTAAGATAAAAAGTATATTATTTGTTCAACTATTAAATCTAAAGACCTTCGCTACTTAATTAAATATTAATTTCTGTAAACATAATCATAGACATAATCAATCTGATTGCAATTAAAATAGAGAAAAAAGTTAAAAAACATTTTTAAAACGTCAGTCAACATATCAGTCTTTATATCATCATATAATAAAAAAAAATATATAAATAAATCATCTCTTTGATATTTAACTTTTTCCACTACATATCGATTAGTAGTTAAAGAATTTTTTTTCTCTGATATTTAATCCGCTAGTCGACTTTATAAAAATTAATTCTATTATACAGAATTAAATTCCATCAATTATTGAAATCCATGGCATATAGAATTTCAATATTAATTTCATCCGTTATATATCCATCTATTAATAGTACCGTTCATTCGACTAATTGAACTTTAAATACATCTATCGAAAAAGAAGATAAAAAATCACTTGATCATCTTTACCCGCCTCCATAATAATTCGTAAATGAAAAAACTAGATTTACATAAAAGAAAGAAACCAACTGAAATGCAAAAGAATTGTTAATTAAAAGCTCAGTATTATTCAATGTCAAAAATAAGTGAAAAGATATGAGAAGATAAATACATTTCCCACCGAATAACGGCACAATCTGAT